ATGAGATTGATCAATTTGTAATTATCATCCTGAAAAATCGCAAGCATGAGAATAGAGAATAGGAGAGAAAATTGTTTTCTTTATTTGTCTTTGCAACGAAGCGATGTGTCAATTTTCTATTCTTATTTTGTAGCAAAACTTCTTCGAGAAAAGTTCCACAAGAAATGTAAGTGGCTATCTCATGTTTTACTAAAATAACTTCTCATTATGCATAGTGTCATTCGAAAATATCACTGTTTTTCATCAATTTTACTCAATCGAAAAAAAATCGTAATTTTTCTTTAAGCAGTGGAATATTCTAGTCATGTAGATATTTCAAGTGAGTTAAACATCTGAAACGTGTTTTATATGAACTTCACGCATTGAATAAGCATAGCTGTGTTTTTCAAGTAATGTGTGTTCGTATGTGTCTAAAATGAAACACACTTTAGTTTCAAACAGGTCTTACTTCATTTAAAATAATCTAAATATTCGAATGATTATTATCTCACAGGATCTAATACAAGTATCGTTCTAATCACACCGGATGATCAGACCAATCGAAGGTTGTTGAATTAGACACATCTCTTCATAGCAAAACTAAAGTGCAGCAAAAATATTTTAAGAATAAATATGTTTCTTGATATGTTCCTTCAAAGACAAAGGGATAAAGTAGGTTGATGGCTATATAACTTGTTGTCTTCGTTTCATGAACATCAAGAAGAACCAATTCATTTAAAAAGGAACTCGATCTTATGTCATATTAATTAAGGAAGATCACGAGAAATGCATCGTTTTGTTGAATAATCAAGATTTTTTATAATTTTTTTCAGCACTTGGAAAAGTCCTGTATTGCTGTGGGTGTGTCCTTCATCTATGCCCACCCTAGACGAATACAGCACTGTTTATGTCACATACATCAACCTCAGATGACATAATTAATGAGTAATAGGTCACAACAATTCATTGTTTTCATGACATCTCGTATTGAAATTCAAAACTAAACTGGGTTCTCTTGATAACGGAAGATAGTAAAAATGTACGCGATAATGAGGATTGCTGCCTTGTTTGGATTACCGCTTGTCATTGATGCTCCATTTACAGTAAAGATTCCCTTTAGGTAAGACTAAAATAGATTTCATCATACTGTTCCTATTTGAGCATCCTATATATATATTGCATGTAATGAAACACTCAGATTACCATATGAATGAGCCATCGAGTAGTTTGAATACAAGTTTGCATTTTGAATGAAAGTAGACTTTTACAATGTTACTCATTAAAGTTTAAAGTGATAAAACTGTTGTTCTGTAAAATCATACTTTGTTTAATAATGTTAATTCTTTAGAACAAATGCGATAAGTGAGAGGGAGTGGGCACATTTTTAAACTCAAAATTTGAACAAGTGAAGTTTTGTTCTTTTAAACTCTTTGATTATTCCAAAAAAAGAAGGAACCTATTAAGTTCTACAAAATAGGCAGTATAATGTGTCGCTATAAAGCAGCATGAGAACATTTAAACATAATAAGTCATATTTGCTATCGCTTCTAAAAATGTTTTACTTCTACTTCAATAAATTTAATAGCATGCAACTTTAACAAGGATTGAACGCTCTATATTTGAGAGAAAAAGTTCAGTCCAAAAACTGTCAAAAGCGAATAAAAATATTGAGAAAGTATTGAGACTGCCATTTATTCTTGTCTATGCGTTATATATAAATCACTTTGAAGAACATTACCATCTACATTAAAAACGATTTTGCTTTTTGTCTTTTGTTTAGCATTCAATATAGTTTGATTCTATTTCGTCTATAAGAAAAAGAAACATGTCTGTGATTTCGACGCTTAATCTTATTCAACAATATCTTACTATTGTGTTGGGAATTCTTCTTGTTGTTGGTGTCATTGGAAATACATTCAATTGTCTTGTATTTCTTCGAAAACGATTACGTTCTAATGCATGTTCAGTCTTCTTTGCTGCTGCTTCAATTGCTAATATGACCGTTATGATTTATTATATTATTCCAACCATTCATTCAGTTTATAATAAACCGCCAGAAAATGGAAATCTTGTTTATTGTAAACTTCGTTTATATATTCGAAATGCTTTATTAGTTATTTCACGATCTTATTTAACATTAGCTTGTGTTGCATGTTATGCTCAAACATCAAGAAATGTTCGAATACGTACAATATTTCGACCAAAAGTTCTTTTACGAATTGTTATCATTATTCCTATAATTTGGTTTATTATACCATTACATATTCCTTTAACAACAACTATTCAAAAT